ACAGAAATGCAAAACAAATCACCATGCCTGTAAAGTGTCTGGATTTCATATTCTTCCCATTCTTGTTTGTCGTCAATGTTGGTTTGATATCTAGCCATTTTTGTGCTCATTGCGGACGAATAGAATGTGCTAGCAGGCCACCAGCACAGATTTTCGTCTTTTCCATGGATCCACTTTATTGCCACTACTTCCACTTCTGTTTGCACTCCTTCACAACTATCCTTTCCATACTTTTGTTGAACTTCAACTACTGGAAACGCTATTTTTAACTAATATAATGGAAAGAAAATAAACATGTTGGCATTTTCACTCTCGTTTAGGATGGCTCAGACTCGCTCCCTGAATAAAAGGATGCCTATGTTGCCCAATTTCACCTAATTACCCATTTGTAATCTGATATGTAACCTCTTTAGTTTGAATAAATTCAATAAAAAGGAAAACTTGACATAAATAATCTCCAAATGTTTTATTTTTTTATTTATTTTTTTTTTTTTTTTTTTTTTTTTTTTTTTTTTTTTTTTTTTTTTTGACACGAGATAAAATACATAGTAACATCTAGATAACATCCAAATCCTTTGGGCCATCTCAAAGAGACACCAAACAAACAGATGTTGAGGGAATCCAAGTTCAATTAACCCTTTGGATCAGGTCACGTCACGGAAATCACGGTGCCGAAAACCTGGTCAATGGGTTTTCGTAAGTAACCAACGTCCCGGGGAGCGGCGCGTAGGCCTGGCACACGAACACCCATGAGTGGTGACAAGACTTCTGTGCCTCCCCTTTGCAAAGTGCAAAGAAGGTAAGAGCTTATTTTCCTTGCACAGACTCCATCTACATCTCCTTATGTAGTAAATAACTTATTGCAAGAAGAAAAAAGGAACATTTAGTTATTTGTGTTAAATATTTTTTAAATCTCATTTTTTCGTAATTTTCAATTTTATGTAATGCAAACTTGATGGCAAATTTTGCGTCACCGGGGCCACGGACAATTTGCCCGATTGACGGCATGCATCAAAATTACCATGCAAATTTTGTGCAGAAATATAGAGATAAAAAATATCGCTATACTTACTCAGGTATGAGTAGTTAGGTAAAATCCATGGTGCCAGGTGGCGCCTGGTTGCACAATCCTTTTAGTGACTGGTGGACAAGTGGATAGAGCGGCCGCCTTACGATCTGGCGTCGCGGGATATATGTGTGTGTATATAATATATATGTGTGTATATATAATATATATGTGTATATATAATATATATATATGTGTTTATATATAATATATGTGTATATATAATATATATGTGTATATATAATATAAATGTGTTTATGTATAATACATGTGTATATATAATATATGTGTATATGTAATATATATGTGTATATAATATAATATATATATATATATATATATATATATATATATATATATGTATGTATGTATATATGTGTGTGTATATATATATATATATATATATATATATATATATATATATATATATATATATGCAACTATGGAACGATATTCATACCCAGTAGTCTGCCGCCTTAATGAGCGATACACCTGCTTATCTGGCCTGGGCTGTTTCTCTCCATACACGCGGAACTACTGTCAATTCTCACAGCCCGGTTTTTATCATTTTATTATTCTTATACTTTATTTTACTAGATATTTTATTCGTTTTCACGCATCTGAGCCATGTGTTCATTCATTCATTGATACACGAGATCGGCTGAGTACCTGGATGCCCACGTAGAATAAGTGGCTGCACTCGTTTGCGTTTCGCGAAAAAATCACGGCAACAATTTCGCACATGTGTATGTACAAACTAAAAGAATAAACCAGTCTGCTCCGAGACAAGGAGGTGTTTCCTTCTCCTACAACCCAAGGAACTTGGTGACATACCACAACCGTCACAGATTTATACTTAAAAGATAAATAGTTGGCTGCTCAGTTTTATCCATATGTATATTATTATACGCTGTATGCCAGTTCTTAAACGCTTCACGAATTAAAGCATATTGTGAAAAGTGTCTCCGCCAATAATTAGCCGGCCATTTTATCATATTAATTCATATTCATAGTTATTCTTTTACTTTGTTTATCTTTTATATCTTTGGTGATATTTCATGTGATTTTACTTTCGTGTTTTATTGATTAAGCTTTATTTTTATTTCACTTTTCCGTCCTTATGGCCAGGCTTTCATTTTAACTTTACCTTAACAAACATTGTGGACTACGGGTTTTATGAACGAGCTGGCGAGGTATCACCGCTCGCTACCACCCACCTACCACTGCCTCGCCACGCTACGTTCGTACCCCCCCCCCCCCCAAGGGAACTCTAATTCGGCCCGTTTTACCACAACGAGCTCGAAGCTCACTGGTGTTCAGAAGCTTTCACGAGGGCATGCTAATGAACTGAACACCTGATACCATTGCAACAATAGCATATTAACACGAAAATAAATAATTGCAAAAAAAAATAATCGCATGAGAGGCAGCACACACCTCTCACATGTATATATATATATATATATATATATATATATATATATATATATATATATATATATATATATATATATATATATATATATATATATATATATATATATATATATATATATATATATATATATATATATATATATATATATATATTATATATATTATATATATATATATATGTGTGTGTGTGTGTGTGTGTGTGTGTGTGTGTGTGTGTGTGTGTGTGTGTGTGTGTGTGTGTGTGTGTGTGTGTGTGTGTATGTATGTATGATTGTGTGTATGTGCGTTTGAGAGAGTGTGTGTGACAATA